CATAGGATTGAACTCGTGACGAACGGAAACGAGAGTTTGACTCCACTCGGGCGGCGACGGCGACTCCATGCGTAAAAAAATGAGGGCTTTACCTGTGGTCATCAGCGGACGGAAGGAACCGTGCCGGGGCGAGGCGCGAACCAGAATGAGCTTGCGGTATGCCGGGTCCGCGGGCGGCACTCGGCAGGTTGTGCTTCCTCCGTCCCGTCCTGGGTCCCGGTGTCCCCGCGGCCGCGCTTCATGTGTTTTGATCCCCTTTCTCGCCCCCACCCCCGCACGGCCACCGAGCCCCTCACCTGTAAGTTACTGTCGTCGACGCATAGCGATGCGATCGCATCCTTTGAGCCCGCTCCAGCCCCCCTCCCCCCCTCCCCCGGGCCCTGCCACGCAGGACTGTCCGGCAGACTGTTCGATCATCCCTTCCATGCTTAGGTTATCCGAGAGGGAAGTAAAGCCCGAATTTTCGAAATCCTGTTTCCTTCGAACTTCGATGGATCTGAGGGTCGTGTTCATGAGCTAGTGTCGCACGATCGAGTGGTGCTATCAAATCTTCAAGATCAGACACTTTTCATCAAATGGACCGAGTTAAGCAGAAAGGAACCAACCCACATTTTGGAAAAAATTGAGTTATGAGTGGTTTTGAACTGAACCACTGCTCTACTATCTATCGCCAAAAATTCTAAGTTTTTGTTGGAGAAAATTTTGCAGAAATTGAACTTGAAGTTTATCTTTTACATTGAGTCTTATGCAGGAGCCAAACTTAAAACCTCTTTTCCTCGGTTCGATCCCGATGTGGCTTGGTTCCTTTCTGTTTAACTCCGTCCAAATATCAGCGGCCCGCAGGTATTTGATGGAATGAGTTTTAGCGAAGTTGCACACAGAGCTCACTCATCCCATCAAATGCCTACTACGGGCCGCTGGTATTTGAAAAAAGTGTGTCTGGCCTTAAAGATTTGATGATTGCATTTGGTCGTTTGACACTAGCATATAGTCGGCTCCCTCGATAGTTCCTTTTTTAGGAGTTTTTTTCCTTCGTCGTTTGGAAGCAAAAAATGGGGTCTTTTTCAAAAAAATATTCCGGGTAAGGACCTCCGAATTCCCATTTTCTGAGAGGCGCAGACCCTCCTCTCCTACTTACTCAGCCAAGCCCCCGTCGAAACAAATCCCTGGCTACGTCCTTGGGGGGGGGGCTGCCCCCCATAAGTCACTGAGGGCCGTATTCATAGTCGTTCTTTAAACAGCTCCTGTCAATGCATAGGGGACCTATGTGGTTAACACTGTGATTAAAGGAAGTTTCAAGTTGTCCTCTACAAAAGCATTGTTATAAAATAGACATTTTTTTCGAACTTCGAGTAAAACGCAGTATTGTAACTCTTAGAAAGGGATTCGTATGATTTGCTATTTTAAAAGGTACAAAATACAGTAGAAAAAATTCTACAGAAACTTGCAGGAAGGTGCGAACCTACCTGAAAAGGTTGGACAGCAACGTTGTTATATATTTGAACAATCAACGTATTATTCGGAAAATTGACAATGTCGTGATAAATCAGTAACTTTTTACTTCATCGGCAATACAGGCAACGCTGGAATTAAGTCACGGTGCATGAAAACCGAGTGAAGCGCCCTTAGCTAGCGTCGAATGCGAGGAACACACATTAATTCTGAATGCAACTATTCGAGCTTCATAGATGTCCGTGTTGCATACACACGCGAGTGAAGGAGTTTTGACTGTTCAGGCACTTGCCGCTTCACTCGCGGCCCGCAGCGCGGCCCCAACGGTGAGCTTTACTGCGAGGATCCGAAAGAGCAGAGCGTCTTGGACTCTTCCTCAATACTACGACGATATTTCCTAGGCACGAATAGTTACATTTAGGCATACCGTAAAAAGTCAGGGATTTATTAAGTCCAGGGAAACTTATCACCTTTTCTGAAACAGCGTATGCTACAAACAACTTCGGCAAAATTTTGAAATGTTAATTCTTTCCTCCTATTTTTTTGCTCTGTTTACTCATATTCCTCTTTCCTTTCTTTTTTCTTCCTCTCTCTCTCTCTCTCCTCCTCATTTTTGCAGCGCTTGAAGCAGACGCTTCTGATGCGCTACCCTTAATGCGGCCTTGATCAACTTTATTGGGGTTGGTTTTTTAACTTTTCATCATGGACTTTGTATGGGAGCATTTTTGTACCTGAATTCACTTCTCGCAAGTATATGCTAAAATGCCGCCAAGATTGAATATACACTAGAATTCAGGGACTGGAAATTGAAGGATATACTTTATTTTTAACGCTTTTTGCTCCTAAGAAGAAATGGAAGAATTGCCGACCCAGGAGAATTTGATGGTTTTCCTCTATTAAGTTGATGACACATTAACGAAGGAGGAAAATGGGCTGTACAACTTTTGGATTAGCTAAATTTTTGGGTCAAAATTCAAATAGCAGGTTGAAGTTTTGACTCGAGGAAAAAACAAAAAATTGTGACTTGCTCCGGAAAACCGTCCTCAGCTTCCTCGAGGTCGACTCAAATTGTTGCTTTTGCAGGAAAAACCGTGTTCCATTTCAGATAGGCTGTATCTCACATAATCCGATTAATGTCCCATGAATCTCCGAGTGACGATTCGATAAATAGTTACTACACGGAAAAAAATGGATTGCTGATTTAACAAATAAATTGTTGAAAAATATATCCGACATGTTTCAAATATACATTTTACAATAAAAGAAAGCTAATCCAACCACACACTGGAAAAAAAAAACACATTGGATCTAGAGTACAAATACTCTTAAAAACATCGACAAGAAAAAGTACTCTCGATTCAATCAGAATCTAGCTTAAATCAAGAACCAAGCCTCTTAATTTAAGCGGATTTCGTTTTGATTCAAGGAAAAATCCGATTGAATCTAGAGTATTTTTTCTTGTCAATGTTTTCAAGAGTCTGGACTCTAGATCCAATTTGTTTTTTTCCAGTGCAGGGGTGGTTAAATTAGCATGTTTTATTGTAAAATCTAAATTGAAACATGTCGGACACTTGTCCCAACAAAAACATTGTTAAATCAGCGATTTCATTTTTTCTGTGTATCAATATCAAATAATTAGAGTTCTTCAACTCAAGTAGTCGTTTCCCGCACGAGGGAACGTAACTCCATTCCAAGGTTGCGAAATTGACTCAAACTATTCAATTTCTCACAAGAGTTCACCATTGCAAATTTCGTCCAAAATTTGTCTGATTTTCAAAAGAGACCCAGAGAAAAATCAGTGAAATTTTCAGTTAAAAATATCCAAGTCGCTCCGGGTAAAAATGCAAACTGCCAGGAAAAATTTGGCAACATTGAAATGTAGTTACGTTCCTTCGTCCGGGAGACGACGAAGTGGAAGGATGGATTGCTACCTTCCTTACGTCGTAAGATTCGAGCAGCTCTGGATATCATCGTCAACCTTAAAGTTCGCCTTCAATTATGCCGTATAGGCAAACACAAGACTAGGAGCACATTTAGTTATCTATTCAAAAAATACTTATTAAACTCGCTACATAATATTTGAGCATTTGATTGAATAGTGCTGTAAAATGCTTTTCATTTCCCTGGCAACTCTTTGGGAATTAGTTTAATTAATTTTTGTCGAAAAGAAGGGTATAGATATAGACCGTTATGAGCCCATTCTCAATTTCCTCAACTCTACGATTTTTTGCTCAATGAAGATCTTTATTTTACGGAATGCGTTGATTCGGTCATTTTTGGTCTCCCTGCGGGTTTAATAGTTCTAAAACTAGCCTGAACATACTTCTAAAAGCTGATTTTGGCGAAGAAATTGGATTTTGCAGGTTTGCTATTGAATGCGCTTAAAACCCCACATTTTTCGCCAAAATCGGCCTTTGGTTCCATATTTAAGCCCAGGGCCGGATTTACCTACTTGCCGCCCATGGGCCGCCTGTATTTTGCCGCATCCTTCTTATTCGTTTTGAAACGTCAATAAAAATCATCAAGTGAACGTGCCAGAGGGGGAGGGATGCATAAGACGCGTTTACCTACTCGTGTTGAAAACATTTTTTTGCGGAAGCCCTGTCAACACTACTAGCAAAATTTTACGGAACTTGACGCGAAAGTTAAGTTCCATAAACCTATCTCTGTGTGGACAAGATCCTCCATTTATGAGAAATGAACCAAAAAATTATGAAAGAACAAACATAAATGTGGTTAAATAATTTTAACTACCGCCGCTGCGCCGCGCCGGCCGCGCTGATCGCACTGTGTTTGGCGCAATGCGTGAAGTATTCCGGCAGTCTTGTAGGCGCTATGCGTTTCACGCCAACCACTCCTGACCCCGTGACCGCACTGTGTTTGGCGCAATGGGTGAAGTATTCATGCAGTCTTGTAGGCGCTTATGTGTCACATGCATGCTGACCGTCGCGCCGAGGGCTTGTCCTTTTCATCTCAAGTCCTCGTCATCATTCCTCTCTGCGCTCCATGAGCTCCAGGCAAAATTGCGTGTTTAGTTCCTCTCTCAACTCGACTAATTAAAGATGCTGTCTCTTGTATCACCGAAAAACGACAAAATTAGAAATTACTGTACTCTCATGAAAAAGAGATTTTGTTTCCTTTTTTCATTGATAATATTTTTTTCTGAATCCGATTTTTTTTATACCTACATTTAAAAAAATGGCAAAATTTGCCGCCCCCTAAATTTGCCGCCGTGGGCCGCGACCCATGTGGCCACCCCCTTAATCCGGCCCTGTTTAGGCCAGCATTTGATCCGACAAGACGACGAAAATAACCAAATCATGATGTATTCCGCAGTAGAATGTAGAAAACCGATAAGCAAAAAACCGTTGAGTTGAGAAAATTCAGCTTAAAGGGTGGCCCCAAACATGGCCTTTGTCGATAGTCTTCCTTAGGAGTAATATCTCCAACTATTAAACATTACTTAATCATCAGAAATTCCTCAATATTACCTTCAAAACTGAGGTCCCAGGGCATTAAAGTACATAGATAAAATAAAGAAAATACTCGGCAATAGATTTCAAGTTTTATTGAGTCTTCATTCTTTGTTGAGGTGCTTTTTCGAGAAGTTACGAAACATTATAAAAAATAATAATCATGAAAAAAATAATAACGGAGTACTAAAATAAAAATATATAAAAATATTCTAAAAATACTGTCACATCGTCGTGTCCTTAACATAAGATGAGAACATGTCTATAAACGTAAATTTTATCACAAAAGGTTACAAGCTTTAATTTAAAACAGTCATATAAATCACCTTTTTCATCGCGTGGAAAGCCCGTTTCAGCTTTCGCGCGGCACCTGCTTTTTTCAGAGATGTAGTTCGCCACGACAAGTCGAAAGTTCGATCAGGTTTTACTCAGCAAAGTAACGCAACTGTTTTTATCTTTGATCAGATGATCTATTGTTTGAAACAATATATTGAGTGAAGCAATAGATCTATTGAGCTATTGTTTCACTCCTTTGCGAACGCATATCTCAAAGAAGCTTAAATCTTGAGAAGCTAAATCGAAACTTAGTAGGCGACTTTAGTTCACTAAAATCTGAAAAGTTTCTGATAGCCTGTTCGATTTGAAATCAGTATCAACATTTTCAATTTTCTAATCTCTTTGAAACCAGCTAGAAGACATTTCTAATCCACGATGCTCTCAGAGGTCTCGACAGCGAAAATATATCATCAGGACCTTTTTTGACCCCGAGCTATTACTGACCTTCTATTTGCTGAAGCGGATGGTTACAATAGGTATAGGAGACAAGTAGTGGACTAACCAACGGCAACCTACAAGGGGCCCTATCGTTAGTCCTTCATTTTCTACTTTTTAGTCTATTACAACCAACCGTTTCAATCAATAGGATCGCTCCATTTCCCCTTTGTCTTCTTAGTCGAACGCTTTGTTTGTAGCTTTGCCTATTTCCTTCTCTATAGCTTTGTCTATAGTTTTGTCCATAGCTTCGCCTATCGTGTTGTCTATCAATTTCAATAATCTTGCATGGACTGACCCCATTGAGAACGATAAAAGTAATGACCGAAACAGGGATGAAAATCCTCAATTTCTTATAGCTTTGTCTATAGCTATTTGTCTATAGTTCTTTCGATAGCTTTGTCTATACCTTTGCCCATAGCTTTGCCTATCGTGTTGTCTATCAATTTCAATAATCCTGTATGGACTGACCCCATTGTGAAGGATAAAAGTAATGACCGAACCAGGGATGAAAATCCTCAATTTCTTATCTCCAACGACTTGTCTATGGCGAATACAGACTCTTTCTTTGACGCCTCGGGAGGGAGGAGCAGGCATGAATGGAAACTTGGAAGCAGGTAACGTGAAGATGAGGTACCCCTCAGATGGGAGCCGGGGATCAGTAGAAGTCGTAGATCAGGTACCGGTGGAGGACCGTAGGGATGGGCAGGGCTTCGACTCGGGTGATGAGTTTGTTGCCCATGTGTTTCCTGATGCTGAGTCTGGCCTGGTGCCTGAGGCTCAGAGGAGCCGTGGCAACTTTGAGGAGCCTCTCCTTCTGCTCCGGCGACAGGTGGGCCGAACGCCGGATCATGCACACGTCGAAGCTCTCGGCGGCGTCCAGGAGGAGTTCGAATATCACCGGGGTGTTCGAGATGTTCTGGAGGGAGTTCAGTATCCCGTGCGGGTCTCGGAACTGCGTTTTCATCACGACCTGTTCAAAAATCGAGGACAGTTATATTAGACCTAGTTGACACCATCTACATACATACACTGAAAAAAAATGTATGCTGTTTTAGCACCTAGGATGTCAAAAATGTGTCTAGTGATCCTAACATGCTACCTTGATTGCACACGCAGTTAAATTTGCATTCATAGGATGTAAAGTTAACTGCAAGGGCAGTAAAGGCAGCATCTTGGGATCACTAGACACATTTTTGACATCCCAGGTGCTAAAATAGCATATTATTTTTTTTCAGTGTACGAGTCGCTTTTACAGCGCGCCCGGGGGCTTTGCGATACCTAATCGTCATTCGGTTTCAGGACATTTTGTCTACGATTTTTTGTCCGCGCACCTTTTTTGTACAGTGGTTTACGCCCACATGTAATCTAAGCAACAGTGACTTGGTCCAAGCGTTATATTTTAGTCGGTATGTAAAATTTTATTGACAATACAGAAATGAGAAATTGAAAGAGAAGTAGGTGTTGTTATGGTTGCTCCTTTTCTAAATGAAATGTTACTTTCTCCTTTTGATTCATCTTTTTAAAGTGTCATTGATGAATATATGGTTTTATTTCTATCCTTGAAATATTTGATGTACAATATACCTTACATATGTATAGGTACTTTTTTTTTAATTTTTTTGTTTACGAAATTATTACTTCATTTATATTTTTAAAACGTAACAAATATTTGTAAAACCTTTTCCAAGCGATGGCATCTATATTAATCTCAATGAGCCGCAGTTGTGCCGAAAGGAACTGCAAAAGTGAATAAAAGAGGGAAAAAAACCAAGGAGCACGCAATCTTTACTTTTAATCCATTTGTACATCGATCTTTTAGAGTCAAATACATCAAATTTTGAGCTTTTGGTTGCGCTTACACCTCGTTGCAGCACAGTAAAAGCAAAAAATGTAAAATAAAAAATTGAAGTGCCTTGGAAATCATTAAATTTGACACGGAAGCACCAATATTTAAAAAAACACATTATATTATTACTCTCCTTTGATGAATTGATACATATTTTTTTCTTTTTTTTGTTATCAATTTAAATGAGAATAATCAATGCAGAGTGTAGTGTGCAAACATTTCAAAATCATCAGTTAAAAAACGCTGACTATGCGAGTATAAATATTAGAGCCTAACAGAGCGGAACGGCGTGCTGCCAGCGTGAGAGGCTCACTGGCGCCTACAAACCTAAGTGGATACTTCACGCATTGTACAATGCTTGAAGTATCCACTTAGGTTTGTAGGCGCCAATGCGCGTTTAGCGCTGACCGCCCGCCCGCCGTGCAGCGGCGCCTGAAGCAATTATTTCACAACAGAGGTGTTGCACAGTATTATACGAAATTGAACGTATTAAGAATGACAGGCATCCTTTAAAAGTACAGATGTTTCCTCGCAAAACAAATCAAGATACTTATCGTACACATGAAAAATCAAAGAGCCCTTAGCTGAGGCAAACCAAGAGGTTCATCCGGTTAAGGTATAACAAGGTGGGAATTTCTTAAAAGATAATTAAGTCCTGTTGCACCAAAGAGGTGTAGAGACTTTTAGTGAATTTTGTCTCATGGAATTGACGCTCCCTCATTTTTACCAAAAATCTCAATTATGTATTATTCTCCGTTGAATCAAACAACCAAAAAAAAAAAAAAAAAAAACAAGCAAACAGGCAAACCCTCATTCTTCCAAGACATTATACATTTTCATCCAAAAACTTCGTGAGCAATTGTCGTTTGTATTTACATGTGGACCAACTGGACCAACTGAGTCTCAACTGGCACGTGGACCAAAACAAAACCTCCGTGCCGAAAAAGTGCGTGGACGTAAATTACTGGAAAAAACAGGTGCGTGGACAAAAAATCGTTGACGAAATGTCCTATAACCCGTCATTATTGTCTCATCTGGTAAAGTTGACACTCTCCGCTGTCAGACAAATGCAAGAACTGCATTTTTCTGTCATTGCCGATTGCAGAGTTGATACTCTCTGCTGTGTACATTTGTCCCAGGCAATCTGCAGTGGTCGAAAAATGCAATTCTTGCATTTGTCTGACAGCGAAGTTTGTATAGCGCCCAAAAACCCCCGAGAGATACGAATGCGAAGAGAAATTAGCACCATAAAAGCGTATTTCACTCCCCAGAAAGAGTGGATTCCGCTCCGTAATAGTGTAAGTCATTCCGTAAGTAGAGTAGATTCCCCTCCGCATTCACATCGCTCCGGGTTTTTGCACGCCTTATAGACTCCAGCACAGAAATTCACTCCAAAATTTGTAACATCGTAGGGGGTGCTCCGATGACGTCATCCATCGATAAATTCTACCGATAGACCAAATTTTTAACATAGTAAAAGGTGCTCCGATGACGTCATCGATTGATACATTATGTTTATTCATTTATGCATTTCTATCGATTACTTAATTATTTCTAATCGAAAAAGTATATTTCGTCGGATCAGGGTTGATGAGGAGACACCGGAAAAAAAACACATTGGATCTAGAGTCCAGACTCTTGAAAACATTGACAAGAAAAAATACTCTTGATTCAATCGGATTTTTGCTTGAATCAAAACGAAATCGGCTTAAATATTAAGAGGCTTGGTTCTTGATTCAAGCTAGATTCTGATTGAATCAAGAGTACTTTTTCTTGTCGATGTTTTTAAGAGTCTGGACTCTAGATCCAATGTGGTTTTTTTTTTTTTTTTTTCCAGTGGAGGGTACAAGTTGACTTACTTTGGCACCATATCGGAGGAGGAGGCTGACGACATGCGGACAGGGTTTCTCGTTGGAGGCCATGTATTCGGAAAGCACGGGTCGAAGCGGGGGTCCCTCATCACTATCGATGACCAAATTCGGGTCCGCCCCTGCCACCAGCAGCATATGCAAAATCTCCAGTCGGTTCTCGATGCTATCCGCGCACACCACGTGCAAAGGGGATCCGATGATGGGTGAGTTGGAGTTCACGTTTGCTCCTGCAAACAAACGACCGGAGGTAGATTAGAGTACTTATATGAGGAGAATGACCACTGCGGGCTGATTATTGAAATTGATAGACACAGTGATAGACAAGGAGATATCCTATCGGTTGAAACGGGTGGTTGTTGTAGGCTGAGGGAGAAATGATGGGATAACTATAAGCCCTGGTTAGACGATCAAATTCCGCACCAATTCCGATCAAAGTAGACATGCTGATGACTGATGGTCACCATCTACCATCAAATTCTGATGGGCCGCACTATTTTGTTCAAAGTAAGATCAGAATGGAGTGCCACCATGCATCATTTCCTGCCTCAGGAAACTTTTCTGCCAAGTTTTCATTTTAAAATTAAGCAAATTAATGAGATTAAGACTGATGACTCCCGACACTTTGATGGTAATTGGTTCGGGAATTTGATCGTCTATCGAGACCTAAAGGATCTCTCGTGCGCCGCTGTTAGATAGTCTATTACTGGCATTTATTGTCCGTTGATACCACTCGCTTTTAAAATTAGGAACCTTTTTCTCAGGGTATGACACCATCTTCGATCCTGGCGCCATTATTGTATACCCTGAGAAAAATATTCAAGTTAAGTATGCCGCGACAGGAATTCTCGTTAAGTCTACCGGAAATAGCTTTCAATCGACCGGAAATCTCTCTAAAATAGTAGGGATACTGTTTAAAACAAGGAGATTCCCTTTGGTTTCAAATGAGAAATTCGTGTCGCTGCATATTCAACAGGAACTAGCTGTTGATCCAACGGGAAATTTAACCAGTATGGATGGCCCTTCCTGCGGGCTAGTTATTAAAATTGATAGACTTAGGAGACAAAGAGAAAATGGATTTGTTGAAATGGTTGGTTCTTACTAAGTACGGTAAAGTTGGACCGCAATTATCGTGGGTTGCCATTAGTTAGTTTATTGAATACTTACTTTGTCCATTGTAACCACCATTTCCTCTTTGTATTTTGCCCATCACTTTATCTATATTTATTTGAGTGATTCGCCCGCGGATCCTTTTGCCCAAAATTACTGAAGTCTCGACGAGTTTCCCTTGACCTTTAGTATACCCCACTAAAAATAATGAAATCTCGCGATGCCCTTGAAATTTAAATGCTATTGCGTAAGACTGATCGGTACTTTTTGGCGGCGAGGATCGGAAGGATCAATTGAGCGTAATAAAGATTGGATTGATCTGTGCGGGGCTTGCCAATCAAAAATTAAAGTAAACAAAGAGTTTTACGTTCCAAGTAGCTGAGCTGTCACGTACGGCTGACCCTTGCCAACATTTGAGAGCCACTCTATAGCTAAAGGAGAACGTCATATGAGCGCTCAGACGTTGCCAAATTTTCTTAAATTAAATACGTGACGCTACAAGAAGGAGAAGGTCTGAACCCGTGTTGAGGGGAGAGGAGGGGACCTCAGGGACGCATTGCGTAACGCTTTACAACTGTACCAATTTTTCAAAGAAATTGCTCTTTCAATTTTTGTGTTCCCGTTTAATCTTATTTTAATGATTTTTTTAAAATTTTCCCTCTCGCTTCATCATCTGAACGTTTTTTGGGGTGTTGATGATTTTTTACTTAAATCGCAAGGCTATGCAGCACAAAAAAGCTCCATTCGTATCTTGTTTTGCAATTTGGAACCACAATTCATGGCTCAGTTTAGAAACAACGTATGTGCCATTAGTTTCTCCGTACACTTTAGTGTTTTTACGGACGAGCCAGAAATTGTAGTTCCTAATTGTAAAATGTTAAGTCATATGGAAATTTTAAATAAAACTGCACTTGTCACTGTCTCACCGTCGCACAGTGGATCGAGTCAATTAGAGAGGTCGGACATAAAATTTCAGACGAAAATTGGGAATTTTGTCGTTTATTTCGTCACATTTTAAAGTTCTAGGGGCGCTACTAGAAAAAAATTTTACTAGGAAACCAATGGGACCACTTTTAGAACAACAAAGTTTTGTATAAGTGGAGTCACAAGCGTTTAAAGTTTCCAAATTTTGTCCGACCTCTCTATTGATTCGATCCACCGTGCGTCGGGTGATTTGGTAACCGTGCAAAAACGACTTACAACGACGGGCACATACGACGTTTCTCCTCGGAGCGGGAGTACTTGCGTTTTCTCACGCAAGAAGCAAGACCCGCGCGGCTATTTACACCGCGGGATTCGCGGAGACAGTCGGGCGCTCTCAGTTTCGGCATCGAAACATGGCCCGCGATCAAAACCGCGTTGCCATTTTGACGCATAAACATCCGAATTTCCCGTAAAAAGCGGAGGAAATCATAAGAATTTAACGAGAGAGGTGGCGAGGATGTGTGAAACAATTACGCTCGCAAATCCGCGCGTTTGCGACGCAATAAGAGTGATTTGCCCGAAACTGAGTCAGATCTTGGCGCACATCTCGTGACCTGGGCTTTGGCTCATCGCTTGAAACGATTCCGGCCCAACGTGAGGATAGCCGAAAGCAGCTGTTGCACTTGAGTTTAAGATATTCCCTCAGCTTTGGCTCAAGCAGGGTGCCTACAAGTCCGGAATTAGTACTAATTTTTTAGGGGCGGTCCGGAAGTACTGAAAAAGTGCGGAAATTCCGCAGAAAATTCCGGAATTTTTTAAAAAATTTTTGTCATTTTAGTCGCAACTTCAAATTTTTGAAATTTTTCTAATTTCGTCAAATTGGGGTGTTGAAAAAGTACGGAATTTTTCTGTTGAAGACGGTACTGAATTTTTCGAGAAAGTATACAGCAAAAGTACTTATTTTTGACCAGCCTGTTTTAATGGACACCTTGCTCAAGGCATTCTGAGTCCGATCGGTGAATTTCAAAGGAGGGGTACCGATAAGGGCCAAAAATCGGCCCTCCCTCAGAACCCCCAGATTTTTCAACGTTTTGCAGTTAATGATGTATATTTTACAGCTGATGACTTATGTTTTACAGAAAAATTTGTGCTTCGGCGATTCTCACATTTCTAACTTCGAAACATAGGTCCAATCTTGGATCGAAGGCCGAAATCCACGAAAATTCACGGTTTTCAGTGTCCCACATTCGACTTTATGCTAGGCTCTCAAGTGACAGTCAATGATCTATTGATGTGTTGTTTTAGGCCAATTAAGACGTAAAATATGTGACGATTGTTGACCGGCACTTTTGGGCCCAAGGTCGACAACAACTTTCTTGCTACACCAATACTATTGCGTTTTTAGTGGTTTTTGCGTTGAACCGGTGTACAGATGCGCAAGCAGTATTTTCTGTTGATTTCTCAACAATTTCGTCGACAGCGTATATAAATCACAAAAACATTTGGGCTCTGAAGAGGCGCACATTTTCTAGCTTCAAAACGGAGGCTGAAACTTGGGTCCAAAGGCTAAAATTCGCGTTTCTTCAGTGGTCTTCATCAGATTTTATGATAAGCCCAAAGATTTCGCTTGACCATCTTCGCATATTTTACCAGGTACTCGAGTGGTCCCAAGGCTCACCAATCGTCACTTTTGGGCCCAACATAAAATCTGACGTGGAACACTGAAAAAACGCGAATTTCAAATTATTTCAAACGACGTGACGATCCCTTCATTAGAAATAGACGGAAAACTTACGAAACTTCGTAAACCATCAAAATTTGACAAACTGCCGGCAGTTGATAAAATGCCATTTAGACCTGTGAACTCAGTCACGGGCTTTTCGCTAGTAATCAGCCCACATGCATGGCAGTACTCCAACTGAGGAAAAAGGCCGTATGAACATTCAAATGTCGCCAAATTTCCCTCGAAAAATAATTAATTTTTGAAGAAAAATGTAAATATCCTTCCCTCAAATTTTCAGATATTTTACGTTGAATTGTGAACGAACTCCTCTGAAAAAATTGAAGAAAAACATTCGTAATTCTCCCTGGAAACTCTTTTATTGGATGAAATATGGCAACGTCCGAACGCTCATACAGCATTTTCATTTTTTGGCATGAAGGAAAAACGCCTTATAAACATTCAAATGTTGCCAAATTTCCCTCCAAAATAATCAATTTTTCAGGAAAGTTATGAATATTTTTCCCTCGAATTTGCGGATATTTTATATTACATTACGAACAAACCTCCCTGAAAAATTGAAGAAAAATATTTGTAATTCTCCCTGGAAACCCTCTTTTTATTGGATGAAAAATGGCAACGTCCAAAGACTTCACTGGAAAAAAACACATCGGATCTAGAGTCCTGCCGACTCTCAAAAACATCGACAAGAAAATGTACTCTTGATTCAATCAGAATCTAGCTTAAATCAAGAACCAAGCCTCTTAATTTAAGCGGATTTCGTTTTGATTCAAGCAAAAATCCGATTGAATCGAGAGTCGAGAGTATTTTTTCTTGTCAAAGTTTTCAAGCGTCTAGACTCTAGATCCAATGTGTTTTTTTTTTTCCAGTGTTATACGGCATTTTCCCTCAGCAATGCAACTGCAGCACTGTACCTCGTAGAAGAAAAACTGGCGTATAATTACCGGAGACGAGGAGCATTTTGACGAGGCTGATATCACCCTTGAGGATAGCGAGGTCGAGGGGGGTGGGTTTTGCGTAGTCCGTGGTGAAGTTGAGCTTGGCGCCCTGCTTGAGGAGGAGGTTCACGATGGCGTTGTTTCCGGAGAGGACGGCGTAGTGGAGCACCGTCCGGTAGTCGTGCCGCGCGTCCGTCATCGCGTTCACGTCGGCCCCGTACGAGATGAGCAGCAGGACCGAGTCCATCCCCTCAAAAACAAACACATCAACACCATTAATATCCACAGTCCATCCCCCAAACACCAAGCTAATCGCATATAGCACACTGAAAAACAAAATTAAGGACTTTATACGCGGAGAAAGAAAACTCGTGCGTGGGACCCGAAGTTCAGGTCATATCGACGGTGAAAGTCGGCAATCACATAACTCGTTTCCGGTGTCTGAAAATCTCCGCCTCCACGTCATTTTTTTAAAGCAGAACAAATTGATATTATTTCTTGAAGTTTTTGCAGAATTTTCTTCGCATTGAGAAGAAAAATCATGACAGTTTTAAAGAATTGCCGTTGAGTAGTTTTCCATTTAAAAAATAAAGTATGACAGGAAGTCTGCGACGTCGCAAACCGAGTTATGTGATTGCCGACTTTCACCGTCGATATGGATCTCTGAAATTTCGGATTGAGCATCTGAACACTTTAGGTCTAGCTGTCAAGGTTCGGATCACACATCTGAAACTTCAGTTCTTACACCTGAAGTAAGAACTGAAGTTTTAGATGTGTGATCCGAACCTCGACAGCTAGACCTAAAGTGTTCAGATACTCAATCCGAAAACTTCAGAGATCCATATGACCTGAACTTCGGGTCCCACGCACGAGTTTTTTCTCCGTGTAGAGACATACCGTCGATCCCGGGCTCAGATGCCGAAAGTTCCGGGTGCTTGAGCCGTCGCTTCGATTGCTCCGGGTACTAAGCCTGGAACTTTCGACCTCAGAGCTCAGGATGCGGATGGTATGTCTATGTAGCCCATAAGTACGGCTTTCACGACCGGAGTTTTTTTTCAGTGCATTAAAAAACTAGTCCCATGAAAAAAAGATCATAGAATGCATGGAGATTATAATAAAAATGATAAACTCTATTTCAACGCAATTGATTCTATTAGCGGCAATTCACAGGAGCGACGGCCACTGTGCCGCATACGATCAGATTATTTTGATAACTGATGCGAGGTCCGTAAGATATTGAAATGATTAAAAAGTGTATGAGGCAGGAAAAAAGGTGAATTCTGATAATGTTTTCCTCGTTCCAGAAAAAGTCAAGAGGAAGTAGGAAGTAACAATGAACGAAAGTAGGATGCTCCTCTCATATTCGGAACAGAGATGTTGACATCATGCCGCAGCCATCGTTCCTATTTTCTGTAACACTGGAATTCCCATTGCGGAAGGGAAAACAGGATAAAATCCTTTTTTCCGAATTCCTTTTTTTTACGTCCATGACTAACCCAATAGCATGTGTTGTGGGGCGTGTAGAGTTTTCAGTTCTCAAAGGTCCATAATAAGGACTACCCTAATATATAGCTACATGCTACACTATAGCCAGGAACAACAGATCCTCCACTGGTCTCTTGACGACAGATGAAAGCTTTTAATTTCGGGGATTCAACACTTCCTTATGGAAAATTATTATAAAGGAGCACTAGTCATCACCCTTTTTCTTGGCTTTTGATATACCTACTAGGTGAATGACGAGCTTTGGGTGAAGTCCCAAGTAGCATTTTTCAACAGGAAAATCGCAATATTTTTAAATTAAGTTGCCACTTTTTTAAAAATATTTTTTGGGAATAAAATCGATAGGATCATCAACATCTGAGCGATTATTCTCAATCGTGTCACGACTAGATCTCCATAAAATTGCATTCGATAGAGTGGAAATTTTATATAAATTTATCATGCGTTTTTTGTTTGATAGTATCGCAATAAAGCACTGTCGATAAAATCACGATTTTATTGCGAATCTATGCGATAAAATCGCAATTTATCGCAATTCTTCATCCCATCATACTGCAATAAATCGACTTCGGCAAAATCGCGATACATTCTCCGATCAAATCGCAACTTACCGCGATCATTACTGTTACCCAGATACCAGCGGGCCGATTATTGAAACTGATGGACAAAGTGATAGACAAAGAAGACACAGGGAGTATGGCGATCCTATCGGTTGACATGGTTGGTTCTTATAGAGTAAGGAAGAAAATGCTGGACTAACTGTCGGGTCTTCAGTGGGTTGCCGTTAGGCAGTCCATTACCTACCCCCTATGTCCGTTGCCACCACCTGCTTCCACCAATAGGATCCCTCCAAATCCCTTTTTTCGTCTTTGTCTATAGCTTTGTCTATCAGTTTCAATAATCGGCCCGCAGTGAAGGGTATATCTTTGTCTCCGACAATAACTGAGAGTTGTTACTCACTTGAGGTAGACGGGCAGCTTTCATGAGAGGCGTAAGTCCGGCCCTGTCGCGGGTGTTGGGGTCAGCGCCGTAGGTGAGGAGGAGGTTCATGAACTCGAGGTCCAGCGGGGAGACGAGGTTGATCTCGGAGCCGGAGAAGTATCGTTTGTTGGGGTCGGCGCCGTGCTCCAGGAGGAGTCGCGCCACATCGGCATGCCGGTTCCGGATGGCCAATCGGAGGGGCTCGTCGCAGACCGTCGTCCGCGGGAACGGGTCGTCCGTGTCCTCCCGGTAGTCTACCTGCGCCCCTTGTGCCAGCAACAGGGCCACCAGTTCCGTGTACCTGCCAACATAAAACGAAACACACTCATTCAGTGGCTATGTCGCAAGCATTGAACTACTAGACAAGGTACCACACGGAGAAAAAAACCTCGTGCGTGGTAGAGTCCCTTTATACTGAGAGTCAAGACAATGCGAATCCATTTCTGATTGGTTAACCGGATTTTAGGCCTTCACAGTGTCACAAACGGGAATGAAGATTAAATTTTCACCAATTGCAAAGATTATAATCTGGAATGGACCGAGGAATTTCGGGTTCGACAAGGAACAAACGGAATGAGAGAAGGAACGGAGAAAGGAATTTAAGAATGAGCCCATCAAAGATTACGAAAAACGTTCAATTTGTGTAATCTTTATTCCCGTTTGTGACTCCATGAGGGGTGTTGTCTTGACTCTCAGTATAAAGGGACTCTAGTGCGTGGGACCCGAAGTTTAGGTCATATGGATCTCTGAAGTTTTCGGATTGAGCATCTGAACACTTTAGGTCCAGTCGCTGAGGTTCGGATCACACATCTGAAACTTCAGTTCTTACATCTGAAGTACTTCGGATGTGAAAACCGAAGTTTTTCGGATGTGAGAACCGAAGTTTTTCGGATGTGAAAACCGAAGTACTTCAGGTGTAAGAACTGAAGTTTCAGATGTGTGATCCAAACCTCAGCAACTGGACCTAAAGTGTTCAGATGCTCAATCCGAAAACTTCAGAGATTCATATGACCTAAACTTCGGATCCCACGCACGAAGTTTTTTTCTCCGTGCAATGGTCCAATAGACACACTGAAAAAAAAGTAACGGGCTGTACAGACATCCCGTCTGTTCCGGTCCGAGAGGCCAAAATTTCCGGGTGCTACGCCTGGAACTTTAGGCCTCTGAGCCCAGAACGCGGACGGTACGTCCATATAGCCCGCAAGTACGGCTTGTACGGCCGGAGTTTTTTTTTTTTTTTTTCAGTGCATGGTACGAATTTAAGCATTCTCATATAGGTATGTTCCCGATCGTGAATCGAAAGTCATCCAATTAATCGATTCACCAATCGCTAATCGGAAAATTCCGGCCCGAAATTACACATTAGGAGAGTGAAATTTATCAGTCAATGCCCTGCTTTAAACGAATGAATGCGAGTAAACTGCTTCTAGCAACTATTACCACCCTCAAGCCGATCACATTGCCTAGTCGCTTCATTGAAGGCGAACGAACTTTGTCTCTTTATGAGAGCTAGGGACTTTTAAGTTTACGCGTAGATAAAGGTGAAATAGTTTAAGTTGATTTCAGTAAGTTTCGTTGCGCGAATCGTATTCTACGTGAAATTTTGAGGAAGGAACATGTATCAGAATGCTTAAATTCGTAACTTGTCTACTGGTCCATTCAAGGACTCTGATATATGTTGGTTCGAATAATGATAGTTTCAAGTGTTTGCTAAAAGCAGGTGTACAGAAATAATAACAAACAAAAAAAAATACTCGATTTTTTTTCTTTGTTTCAGAACCGTAAACTCTCAACCTTTGAACTTTAACTAGTTGGTGAGTGTTCATTTATTTTACTATTACCACCGATTGGACTAAAATTTGCCATTACCATTACCATTACCATTTTTGGCTCGTCAACAAAAGCTCCCATATGCATGAGGAAAGAAAAATATTTTTTTTCTAAAATGAGCCAAAAATAGTATAGTTCCTTCTCGCAAAATTTAAATATAGAAACGTAGATTGTTCAGTTACCCTCGGTCCCGGTATGCCGTTTAGAAGTTTCGGTCGGCTGACCGCAACCGCTGAACAAAACGAATACTCGTGGGGGGGAGGAATCATACTTTCTGAGAAGATGAAAACTTCTGGACAACGAGCGCTCTTCACTTAATTATCGACCACTAAGTTTTGATCTTGTCAGTATTAATGTTCGGTCATTTCATCGTTGTGCCTTCGATTTTTGGTTCTGTGATTTGCTGACTTCTGTGTTCATCGAATCATATGTTCTTCGAGAGCGACGCGTACAGCGTGATTGGAAAAATCGTCGGTCCTCTGGCGTAAGGGTATCTCGACTTCCGAATGAGCCCCAGAAAGTATGGATGAATATGTAAAACAGGGCTCATGTGGAAATTAAGGTGCGTCCTCACCAGTTTGGCGGGGCGTGTATAATCGATTATCGATATGTTCCCTTTTAAAGCTATGGTAAAGAATCGATTATTAAGGTATTCGCTGCGAACACCCTATCTATCGATCCTTTTCCATAGGCTTAAATGGTAGATCAATCGATATATCGCAAAGCACGCCACCCCACTGGCCCTCACGTCAGAGGGGCGACGACGAAATGAAGAAACGGAAAAGGGAGTCGGGTGAATTTCCGTTTGCACGAATGAGGGGCGAGAGGGTTGAAAAAAGATTGAACTCAACCCCAGCGGCGGGGGAAAACTGCGTCCAAAAGTACCCCGAGGGTTTTTACTGCCGAATAATCGCATACTCGAATCGCTATATAATTGATTGTACCGACAGTGACGTCATAAGTCGTGTAAATGGATGTTTCGCTGCGGGGCCTATACGAATCGTCAAAAGGTCAATTGCTCTCTTGTTATAGAATTTTTCTCCTGAGGATTGCGGTTCCGTATTCTATTTGAGTCGCTTTATAGTACCCCCTGGGGCGACACCTAACCACTGCCCCCTGTCAAACCACAACCCTTCGGGCATCGTGCACTTGAATATTTTTGTTTCAATCCTTTCCCTCCAACCCCGCCAACTACGCCTTCTCTCAGGAGGAACCCAATCTATATTCGATGCTTTTCTAATAATAGATTGATTCGGTGGCCAAGTACGTCATTCAATGTATCGATATATGGGTTACATATTCGATCACTGAAAAAAAAAGTATAGTAGACTTTACCAAACTCGGACACAGTGAAAGGTCCAGTCTGGTAATAAATACTGGATTGTACGATAGTATTTACTATACTATGGTAAGTGTCAACAGAATTCTGGTGAATACTACCATAATTCTGGTTATTTTCACTAAATGGTATCACTTTGTAAAAAATCAAGTAGACTTGTAGTAGATGTTACCATATTTTTTTTTTTCAGAGTACATAATCTCGTTGTGTTAACACGATTGCAGAGGCAGAATATTTTAGAGACTGCACTCTAAACCATACAATTGGGTGCTGAGCCAATAATGGAATTCAGAACCTATTTTCTGTTTAATAATGGTTGATGATGAATAACTTTGTAAACAAGAAATCAAATAAAATTTGCACAATAATAATGACTAATGAATGTTGGGGTGAGCACTTTCCTAGGCGAGTTTTTGCAAATTAAGTCTGAATTGCTAAACCAATTTCCCATCATTTTAGCCTTAAGCCATCATTAAGCAAGTCTGACCGTTGACTGTCGAAAGTAACTTTTTTAACTTCTTACACTATACGGAAAATAGCATTGCGGTGTCTTTGTTGTAGCAAGTTGCTCACGTAGCCCTTAAAGCGCCATCTCAAATAAGACAAACGGAACCAACACAATATGGCAATAGAACAAGAGAAAGAGCGCGCGTTGAAGACGGCGCAGAGATACAACTATTCGTTCTTGATGGACGGCCGTGTTGCATCTGCAAAATTGAAGGCGCGATGGCGCGAGGCGTGAACTAGCGATGCACCGCGCTCTTTGCTGCCAATGAGGTGTCGCTCAAATTCGCGAGAAAAGTTAAGGAAACGAGGCTCGAATACGTCTCTTCTTTTTTTTAGTGTATTTTTTTCCACTTCTTTGTTTACACGATTTTATTTTTCTTTTCTTTAATTTGATGTCTGGTTCTTTTTTTATCGATGTATTTTTAGACCTATATTTAAAACAATGACCTGCCCAAGCAATTTCAACAGCTTAAAGGCAGTAGAAGTTGCTTACAAAAGTTTGATGAAGTGCGCAACATTGATTCAGTCTTAGGGATGCCCTACAAGGATAAAATGGGGGTCAAAATGTCATACACATACTACTTGGACGGTCCCTTATTCCAAAATTATGGAGGAAAATTTGTAAATTTTTTCTCGGAAAAGAATATTTCATCGGAGAAAATCTGTCAACCTGCGAATGCTCGGCGTTCCTGGTAAGCATTGTAAGTTCGGTATTAGGTCGGAGATGAGAACATCGCCATCACCGTCGCACAGTGGAAAGAATCATCGGCGGAGATCGGCATGAGATTTTTGACCGAAACTTCGAATTTTTATGATTATTTCGTCACATTTTCAATTTTAAGGAGTGTTTTATGAAGGGAATCAACCGAGCAAATTAAATGAGCCACTTTCAAACCTCCGTTTCACGGACGAAGGTATGAGCTTTTAAAGTTGCCTTATCATGTCCGACCTCCATGGTGTATGTATGAAGGACCTGGAAAAACCGAGTTCCATCTGGAAACGAAAAATTTCGGGGGAAATCAGCGAATTTGTCCGAAAATTGTTGCTGAAAACCGAGAATTTCTTCTCTCTCCGTTCTGAGATCAAATTTTTCGTAAAACTGATGATTCGTGTCGACTTCGACTCATTGTCAGCTTCAAAGAATCGAGCAAAAGATAAAAAAGTTGATACATGTTTCCGCAAATTTCGAAGCAAACTCTTGTTTTTGCTAAGAGAATCTAGAGAGGAGTATGAGCGAGAATCCTAAGTTTTTATCAGAGAATTTTTCCGTAAAAATCAGGAAAAACTAGGGAACGGGAAAAACCAAAAGTTCTAGACTCTATACTGATCTCTATTGTCGATTCGATCCACTGTGCGCCGACGAGTTTTTATCAGAGAATTTTCCCGTAAAAATCAGGAAAAACTAGGGAACGGTAAAAACCAAAAGTTCTAGACTCTATACTAATCTCTATTATCCACTGTGCGCCGACGAGTGACAACATTTTCGGTGGACGTAATTGCCTTCTTCTCCGCAACGTAACGCTCACGCGGTAGCGCGCTGTTGATGTTGATTTTAACGTCGATGTTCATTTTGATTTGAGCGACGACGCCGGGTGCGTTGTTGGGTTGCGACGCGGAAATTACAACTACAACAAGCTGCGATGCGATTTGTTGACACGAGTTTGGGGTCACTGAGACCTCGGTCCCGGCGGTGGCCGGTGGCGGTGCCGCGGTTCCGTGCGTGATTCCCGGTTCCCGTGACGTAGGTCGGCCAAGGTCGAGGACACACCAGGCCAGCTGATCCCCCAGCACTACGTTTCCACCGATTCCGATGGTCCCGGCATCTCGGCAATGTTTACAGACCGCAAGTCGACGGTGTAACGTAGAAAAGTGCGTAACTCGGTTGCGGAGTTTCAAAATCTCCGCTCCTGTTAAACGTCAGGGAAAACTCGAAAAACTTACCCTGGAAAAATACTCCGGGCGTGGAAGCCGTACTTACGGGCTATGCAGATATACCGTTCGCGTTTCGGGCTCAGTGGCCAAAAGTTCCGGGCCTAAAGCACTGGTTATTTGAAACACGGTAAAACATGGTCATGCACCGTTTTTTTGCCAATCTATTAGTGTAAACCATAAAAACACAATTCTGTCACCGAAGCGCAATTGCGACCCATTTCATGTCCGTCAAAAGTTCCGGAATTCGGAACTTTTTTGTTCCAATTTCTCCCACTCCATGACCGTCAAAAGTTCCGGGATTCCTTTTAGATGTTTTGAAAAGTTCCAAAAAAGTTCCGGAGAATCCAAAAGATCCGGAAAATTTTGGGAATTCCTAAAGTTCCAGGAAAAATTCAAGAAAATCTCGAAAATTCCAGAATTCGGAACTAGTTCCGGGAAATAGGAGCACTGGGAAATGGTATCACTGGTTTGTTGAGTTGCATAGAGCCAGTGTTAGAACTCACCCATGCTCTGCAGAGAGATGAAGAGCGGAGTAGCCGCTCTCGTCCCTGGCGTTGACGTCACCGCCGCGGATGAGGAGGAGTCTGACGGCCTCAGGGTAGCGCTGCCAGACGGCGTAGTGGAGGGGTCGCAGCCCCTGGGTCACCGGCTCGTTGACTTTGGCCCCGCAGGCCAGGAGAATCCGGATGTCGTCCAAAGGCACCATCCGCACTATGCTGTCGGCTAGTTGCCGCTGTAAAGCGTTCGTATGTGGCATCGCGTACATGATCCTCTTTTCTGCAACAAAAAATCCGGATTTAGAGTATACCTTGATGGAGAGAGAATCGCCTAGAGTACCTGTATACGGGAGAGTATTGCCATCTCAATCCTTATACTACAGAAAAAGTGTGCCGCTCTCTGAGGAGCCCCAGAGTCGGCCCAATGTAAATAAACCCCAGCCCCTCCGCTCCTACTTTGGCCCAATTTAAACAAACAAGATAACGATAAAGTTCTAAAAAATTCTAGACGTGATTTTGGATGTGATAGAAACTTTTTCATGATTAATTTCAGAATTGAATTCGGATCGAACTTCGATGGATATTTCTGTAAAAAATGAACCTTTAAGTGTGATTATCATTTATTTCTCAGCCGATAATACGTGTTCCTCTGGGTCGGGTTTGTTTACATCGGGTCAACTTTAGAGCTCTGCATGATAGCCTAAAACTGATGAACCAATCAGAGAGGGGCGCAGAGATGGCAATACTCCCAAAACGCATTTTTACGACGTATTTACGTAGTTTCACGACCTATTTTCGAGAAAAATCATCTTATATATATTAAGGTTGGCAGCAAGTTATGCAGCTGATGAGAACCGCCAAAAGTCGGCAATGACCCGGGCATTCACGGGAGGTAGAGGGAGATACATTTTTAGCAGAAATCGAAATAAACTCTCAATAGATAATGAAACAGCTCTCTAAAAAAAAATTCCCTGACAAATCGTGTTATATCGGAAGTTTGGCAAAGTCTGAAAATTCTGGGTGGCGTTTTTTCGCAGCATGGTAGTGCAGCGAAAGACAAATCTGGTGATTTATTGCCCGCGATTTTTAGGCGCGGTGCTGCCGGATTGTTCGTGAAATTGTTCCTTTTTTTTCAAAAATTCGTGGATGAAATCTTTGAAACGGGCGTTTTTTCGACCTTGTCTTCGCGCGTCCATCGGATCTCGTCTTTTAATGCTGGTAGAGTTTTCAATTGGGCCGCTTGGATCACTGACGGTCACTGAAAGAGCCAATTTTTATTGGAAGTATGATGTATTTGATGTACTTTTCATCAAATTAAATACAAAATTATCTCTTTGAGCAACCACTCTGTTGAGCTCGCAATCAGTTGGTTGCTAGTGCATAGCTATCCACCAGATATAACAGTTGTGAAACTTTCAGGTTTGTTTTCCGTAGAAAATCTCAGGATCCGATTTTTTGACAAACTTATCAAGAATCCTTTTTTCCGTGGAGGTCGTCGCATACGACGTTTTTCTTCAATTAATCCGGCAAACAGTGGAGCGAGTCGATTGGACGGGTCGGAGAAAATGCAGGAACTTTAAAGCTTGCTACTCCGTGAATACGACATGTTGAGGTTTTTAAAGTGGTTCCGTCGGTTTTCTCGTAAAATTTGCCTAAGTAAGTACCCCTTAACATTAAAAATTTGAAGAAATAAACATCAAAATGAATCGTTATGATTTAAATTATCTCCATAGATCTCTCCTAAAGAATGTGCGGCAGTGCATTACAAAAAACGCTAATTTTGGCAACACCGCTTTAGATCCGCACGGTGATTTATCATCGAATTTTCGTAGAGCCTCCATCCTCCAATCTGCCGCGGTAAGGAAAAACGACGTATGAAAAACCAAGCGTTGCCAAATTTCATCTGATTAAATATGATTTTTCCCCTCAAATTTTTAAAGAATTTTTTTCGCGATTTAATTTGGCGTGAGAGAAAATTTCAAGGAAGAATGTACATATTTAAGTCTTTGCAAAAGAAGTAACTAATCGAGGGAAATGTGGCAACGCTCTATCACTCATGTGACGTTCCTTCTTACAAAGTGGCAGAAATCGAATCTCGATATTTAAATTACCTCTCGGTCCAAGTGGCAAGCCCGAGTTTTTTTGGACAGGGTCCATGAGCGTGGCTATGCTTTAAGAAGCGCGCAGCATCTAACGGATATCTAATGTACAACGGCGGTTCTTGCTAAAGGCGACAGAGCGGCTGTGGCACCTTTTGACCGCTCGGTATTATTTGGCAACGGGCTTATAAACAATATTCGAATGGGCTATCCCTGTGCCACCTCACTCTGATAGCGGGGGCAATACCCTTTCATTGTGACAGGTCAGCGAATAAACTCATTCAGCGGCTTGAGATACTTTGATGCATCGATCTTCGATGGTTCGGAAGTAAACTGAATAGACTGCAAAACTATATTTTCTTTTTACTTCCCCTACCCTTATTCACAATGGGCGTGGCGTGCTTTGCACTGGAAAAAAAAACACATTGGATCTAGAGTCCAGACTCTTAAAAACATCGACAAGAAAAAATACTCTTCATTCAATCAGATTTAAGCTTAACTCAAGAATCAATCCTCTTAATTTGAGCGGATTTCCTTTTGATTTAAGCTTAAATCTGATTGAATCAAGAGTGCTTTTTCTTGTCAATGTTTTCAAGAGTCTGGACTCCAGATCCAATGTGTTTTTTTTTCCAGTGTGGGATATATCGATTTAGCTGCCATCTAAACCTATGGAAAAGGATCGATAAACAGGGCGCTTGCAACGAACACCTTAATACTCGATTCTTCACCATAGGTTTAGATGGCAGATAAATCGATACATCGCAACGCACGCCTTGCCTTTCTTCTCCATCCTTCTCCATTCTCTCTTCCTTGCCCGATTCTTTACCATAGCTTCAAGTGGAGAAGTATCGATAATCGATGATTCACGCCTCGCCACTGTTCCCCGTTTGGTTCTGGTAGACTCTTGGTTTCTTAGGAGCGCATAATAAAAACTTCATTATCTTGGTTTGGAATTAATATGGGTTATTTCCGTTAGGCGAATCGTGTTCTCCGTGAAATTTTAAAGAAGAACCATCTGTCAGAATGTTTAAATTCTTTACCCTGTTTGTCCATTGCAAAACCCACTTTCATCAATAGGCTCGCTCCATTTTCTCTTTGTTCATCACGTTGTCTATTGATTTCAATAATCCGCCTGCTGAGCTGAAACTTCGGTGCTTAGGACTGAAAACTTTGGTTGTCTTGACCGAAAACAGAGTAGTTATCCATATGAACTGATGTTCAGTTCTCAGAACCAAAGTTTTTTTACGTGTATGAAGAATTTATGAACGAACTAATTGCTTGGAGACTCCTCGTCATCTGCCAACGGTGTTTCGGGGCTCGTCAAAAATACATTAATCATCGATGACTCCCAGATATATTTCTGCCAAAATATTTTCAATATTTTGCGAACGATTCTTGACGGGATGACGTCCACGTAACTCCGGCTCTCGTAGTGAGCTTCATTTCAGATATGACCGTTCAAAAAAAATAGAGACAGTGTCTAAGCGTGAATCGAACGATTATCGATATTTTCACTTTCTCGCTACCCTAGTTTCATTTGAAGCTATGGTAACGAATCGATCATTAAGGTAGGTACATTCTTTGCGAACATCCCGACGATAGATCCTTTTCCATAGGTTTAAATGGCAGATCCGCTGATTCATCGTAAAGCACATCATACGCGAATCATTAGCCATCAATATTTTTCCATTTTCAGGTATAATAAAGAATCGATTATCAAGGTGTTGGTTGCCAAAATCCCGATGGTAGATCCTTTTCCATAGGTTTAACTGGCAGATCAATCGATTCACCGCAATACACGCCACGCTACTGAGATGGGAACCTTAGTTTAAAAAACTGAACATGTATGGTAAGTGACGCGAAATACTCGGCAACCCCAGGATGCAACTAAACTCGCTTGAGGGATATCCGGGTTGCATATACGAAAAAACGAAGGCTCACGGGCTCGTTCTTTCCTATCCTCACTTTCAAATCGGCGCTCGTTGTGCCAAATTGCTTGTGAGTTATTGCTCCAATTAGCACGGGCTTAAGAAGGCTCGCATGCTGAGTTATATGTTCGCCAAATTGACGATCTTTCAGCGCACTTTTCCACGTGAAAGTCCCCATACATTGTTGACAATGATGTGTGTGCCTGTTTGTTGCCTACATTTTGTTTTGAGTTCATTCTTATTAACATTGTAGGCGCAAAAATTGCACAAAGCAAACGTGATAAAACTACAGGATGTTAAAAAAAACTTCTAAGTGGTTGTGTGAATTGGGGTCTTGAGTAGTTCTGATAAGTTCTGTTTCCCTCTAGACAGACATCATCTCCCCGTTTGCAAACGGGGATATCTATGGATGGAAAGGAAATTGCCACATTTCCCTTCTCGATGGGATTTCAAAGATGCCTTTACAAATTGCAATAATTTTGGTCATTCCATATTTCTCTTAATTCTCATTAACGGGCCCGCTTTTTAGGATCCTTAACCGCCAGCGAAGCTGTTCAACTCATGCGTAATAATAATGACTCATGACCAAGGAGTTTTAAAGATTAGACTAAATTTTGCAATAATTAGGAACTACAATCTCTGGCTCATTTTAGAAACAGCATATCGACGGTGAAACTACCAAACCACGTATCTCGTTTGCGGTGTTTAAAAATCTACGCTCACATTTTATTTTTTTGAAGTAGACCTAATCAATATCATTCCTTGAAATTTTCACCGAATATTCTCCGCACGAAGAGGAAAAATCACAGAAATTTTCAAGACTGGACGTTAAGTAGTTTTTCATTTAAAAAATAAAGTATGACAGGAAGTTTGCGACGTCGCAAACCGAGATACGTGGTTTGGTAGTTTCACCGTCGATATGTGCCATTAGTTTCCCTATGCAAGCAATTGTTTTATGTATAATCCAGGAATGTGGTTCATAATTTCAAAATAAAGTCCAATTGATTTGGCCATTCTAACGTAATTTGCAAAAACTCGCCTGTCAAAGATCTCACACCGAAATTCATCCACCATCATCTGGCGAATTTGATGCAATTTTTCGCACAACAAATTGTGCAACAATCATCGTAGAGCAAAAATTAGTGGAGACCTCCGATTCTGAACTTAGCTTTTGCCTCACCCAATTACTTTGCTTAGATTGTTAAAGTGGGCTCTCTCGAATACATCGTCCCTGTCAAACTTATTCTCGTTGA